TTACATAGAGAAAATTCTGACAAAGTTTCAACATTTGAACATTAAAGAATTCAACACTCCTTTTGATTCAAGTGTGAAACTAAAGGTGAATTCTGGTCGAGTAGTGGCTCAACTAGAATATGCTAGTGTAGTTGGAAGCATGATGTATGCTACTCACTGCACTCGACCTGACATCGCATTCGCTGTAAGCAAATTGAGTTAGTATACTGTTAATCCAGGGACGGAGCACTGGAAGGCAGTGGGTAGAGTACTATGATACCTAAAAAGGACAAGTACTTTTGAGTTGACGTATTCGTCATCTAATGGAATACTTGAAGGTTATTCCGATGCCAGTTGGATTGATCACACTAGTGATTCAAAATCCACAAGTGGTTGGATTTATACTCTAGCTGGTGGTGTTATTTCTTGGGCGAGCAAGAAACAGACGTGCATAGCTCATTCAACGATGGAAGCGAGCTAATTGCCTTAGCAGCAGCAGGCAAAGAGGCAGAGTGGATTCGAGATTTACTTATGGATATTCGTTTGTGGGATATTCCAATGCCTTCAATACCCATGTACTGTGACAGTGAGGCCACATTGTCTAAAGTATATAATGCGGTATATAATGGGAAGTCGAGACATGTAGGTCTGCGACACAATTTTGTGAGACAACTAACTGAAAGTGGTACCATCAAGGTTGTCTATGTCAAGACAAGTAGGAACTTGGCAGATCCGTTTACCAAACCTCTGACGAGAGATTTGGTTACATCTACCACGAGAGTCATGGGTCTAAAACCACAATAGAATCGCTTAGTGATGGAAACCCAACTTGACATTAGTGCTACTAATTCTCAAGTTTAAAGGGTAACAACGAAGTCACTAACGGTAGAAGGTACTATCATTAATGATAGATCCATGTGAGGTAGGATAGTACGTCGTTGCCGAGAAAGAGGTTGAGTTACAACTCTTAACAAAGTTTTGGAGACATCTAAGCAACGAAGATGTTGTAAAACTTTGCCTATATGATCTAGAGGTGGTGCCGCCTCAAGTGAAGATTAGTGGTTTATCTTCTAAAGGATCATGAAAAGGGTTTATAGCGCATGACCATATTAGCGCTCAGGGAGAACACAAAGATGACTTGTGATATGTGGGGGTAAACCGGAGAGGTCATTAAGGTTCATGGTTTAAACCTATAAGGATACCATTGAATCGGTCTCTTCTTGTTTGTTCTCATTAAACTGGGGTTTAATCTTCGTGACACCCAAGTAACATCATCTGTCTAGAAGGATCAGGAAACGGCTTGCTTGGAGAGCAAGTCGTCGCCCTAGGGTTTCTGGGGCCGGCCTATGGGGGCCCGTTTTATGCCTTCTAGGGTTTCGATACCTATAAATACTGCTCCCTAGGAGCCATTTGACACACTCACGAAAATCAAAAGCTCTCTCTCACTCTCTGCGATTTTCTTCTGGTTTCCGAGTATTCACTTTGTGTTTGTCGATTTCTAGTGTTGTTGGAAGATCGATAGATCTGCATTAAATCCTGGGGTTTTACTCTGTTGCTTACAGCCAGTAGAAGCGAAGTATAAACCTTTAAGGACAGGAGTCCGATCCGTGCAGTTATTTGAAGTTCAAGATCAACCATCAACACGTCGGTTTTACTTTTCTGTCTTGCATTTACTTTCGTCTAACAACAGGACTGTCTTCTTCTTCCTTTCTTATAATCAGATCTAATCGTGAATGATTGATCTGGTTTTGGACGAAACTTGGTAAATATAATAATAATAATTGGATCTATTATTCGCAACTAATCGACACATAATTATCAATATTATTTGTCGGTTTCCTTGCGTGTCTATTAGTTTGATTTTACAACACACTATAGTGGTAGATTTCAATCAAAATTGAATCCTACGTAACATCAAGTGTTGTATTCTATTGTGGTATCCGATATGACAGAACTGTCCAACTAAAATGTATATAATGGTGTATTGAGAATTCGGAAAAACGTTTAGTGACATTTTGGATACAATTAAAATATAAGTGACTTAAAGTGCAAGTTGTTATTAGTTATCATTTTAGGACATTAAACCATTCTAAAAATCTCCTTAAATTTTGATCGTTATTTTGAGAAAACTTTTGTATTTTGCTTTCAAAAAAAACCTCTCAACCGGTTAACATGCTATTTCATTTCATATCAAAATCCTATTTTTGTAAAATTTCCAACAAGTTTTGTATTTTCTATTAAAAAAACAAAGCTAGTTGTGGTTGACAAATATAGGCTTTTTTTTACAATTTTAAAGTTTCACTTATAACAAGACTATACAAGACAAACCATCAGACAAGGCTAATGTTGATATATCAACCTACGTATAACAATACTATATAGTATTACAAAGCATAAGACTGAACATTTAGCAAACTGTTTTCAAACAGTTTGGCAGGACATTCGTTTATTTAATAAATGCACGAACATGAACAAGATTGTTTGTTCATTACGTTCATTTATGTTCATTCATTTACGTTTATAATGAACTTTATTTTTTTTTTGCTTGTATTATAGGAAATTAATAATGTTATATATGTTGATCTTTTGTGACGTGTGATCGTTTGAAGAGTGATCAAGTGTGATCATCTTTGAGGTAAAATCATGCAAGGAAATCACAGTATAGTGTTAAATATAGCCAGTAAAGCAAATCAAGCAAATCCTTAATGATTCTGCTACTGATCAATCATATTCCTACTCCTAGTCAGTATTGCGGCCTTGAAATCGTCTTTTGGAGACTCAAAATGGCTCATCTTTGTTGTATCTCTGATGTATGATATTTTTAGGTCAAAGACAAGGGTCTATTTATAGTTTTTCTGCTGACCTAAAACGTGGCCCGTATGTCCTTTAGACGCGGTGCGTAAGTGCAAGCGTTAGGTTAGAACTCTAAGTCATCAACGTGATGTGTTACTTGTATGGACACGACACGTTCACTTCAGTTCGGTAATTATTTCTGCTTCTTGTGTTCCACATCTACTTCCACCTCCAATATGCTTCCTTTTTCCTTAGCAGTTCAAATTATCTTCAAAATTATAATTTCAAGCAGTATAAGCATCTTTTATCTTAATTAAGACGAGAAAGAAGCTCAAAACACTAAGATATGAGATATCGCACGATATCATGATGAAGCTAAAGGCCAAGGTGTCAAGTTATGCAAATTTTTTATTTTTGGAGAAAATATTTGGAAAAAAATATTTTAAGTATTTTTTTATGTTTTTTTTTGGCGTAGAATTATCTATAAAACATGTATTTAGGTATGTTTCTTTATTTGGATTTTTATGGTCATTTATTTTTATTTATCTACGTTTATGTTCATTTACATCAATTCATTTATGTTTGTTTATATCTGTTCATTTATTTTTCTTTAGCATCTTAATGAACAAGCATTCATTCGTTTGTGGGGTTAATGACATAGGAGGGTAATAAGGTTTTAAGTTTGTCCACATTAAGACCTTAAGGTTTTTTTTGTACATATTACACCAATATGGTTTGTTATAACCGTTTAAAAAGGTAATAATGTTTTAATTTTGTCCATATTATGTCCCTAAGGTCTTTTTTTTGTACATATTACACCAATATGGTTGTTATAATCGTTTAAAGAGGGTAATAAGGTTTTAATTGTGTCCATATTAGGTCCCTATTTTTAATATTATTATCATCTCATCTAACTCTTTTACAATTTATATTAGTATCTAGTTAGATGGCTTTATCATTTCATCTTCTCATTTTAGTCGTCCATTCACCACAACCATGGTTTCAAATAAAAGGTTACATAACTTTTTTTTGGTCATTTTTACAAAAAATAAATAAATAAATAAATAAATAATAATAATAATAATAATAATCAAAGTCTTAATGATTAAGGCTATGTTTGGCGCGCCACAACTAGCTGATAACTAGTTTATTTTTCGATATTTTTTTAAGTTGACATGTTTGGCAAGCCAAAAAATAGCTTATAAGCTACCGTTTTAAAATGCTACTTAGACTAGTTTTCAAAAGTTTTTTTTTTAATTTTCAAATATACCCCTTAATTATTTAAGAAAACATATTTTTTAAAATGACTTTTATGTCATTATATAAATTTCAGATAGTTTATAAGTCAGTGGCAGAGCGATGGTCAAAATAAAAAACTAGTCTAAGTAGCTTTTTAAAATGCTAGCTTATAAGCTACTTTTTGGTTTGTCAAACAAGACAACTTAAAAAAGATCGAAAAATAAACTAACCTATCAGTTAGTTGTGGCGTGTCAAACATAGTCTTAATCATTAAGACTTTGATTATTACTATTTTTTTTAGTGAAAATGACAAAAAAAAAATGTTATATAACATTTCAAATGAAACCATGGTTGTGGTGAATGGGCGACTAAAATGAGAAGATGAAATGATTAAGTCATCTAACTAGATATTAATATAAATTGTAAAAGAATTAGATAAAATGATAAAAATATTAAAAATAGGGACCTAATATGTACAAAATTAAAACCTTATTACCCCTCTTTAAACAGTTATAACAACCATGTTGGTATAATATGTACAAAAAAACCCTAGGGACCTAATATTGACAAAATTAAAACCTTATTACATTTTTTAAGCGGTTATAACAAACCATATCGGTGTAATATGTACCAAAAAAGCCTTAAGGACCTAACATGGACAAACTTCAAACCTTATTACCCTCCTATGTCGTTAACCCTTCGTTTGTTTGTTCTTTGTCGTTGATTGTACATAAATTATGCATCTAAAAAGACAAGACAAGACGAATTGACGAAACAAGATAGGTCAAAGAGCGGGGTTCAAACAAAATATTCACCTTATCAAGTTTAATACAAGAAAACCAACATGATATAGTATATAAATAAAAAATAATTTAATGGAAAAGAAATAAAAGCAATTGTAATTTATTGGATGACACCTCAAAATAAATACAAGTGAAAGAAGCACAAGGAGTAAAAGCTTTACCTCTTCGAGGTGAACAATCAATCAATCAATCAAAATACCCAAGCACAGGCTCACAGTAGGCATAAGCTCTATATCTGTAACAACGACGACTATGATGACCCACTTTTTTAACCCTATAAAAATTGAGGTCAACCAACCATAAATAAAAACAACAACCAAACAAACATCCAATTTTCACTACACATAACAAATTAACAAAACACCTCCACAAATCACCACTTCACCTCTGTGTGTGTGTGTGTCTCTCTCCTCCTCCCCCATAAAAGCTTCCAACCCCACTATTATTATTGACATTGTTATTATTATTATATCCTTCATTCCCTCCATACCCCTGGTTTGGCCCAACATAATTTGAGCCTGGGCCTGGGCCATACTTGTTAGGGCCCCACGGGAGCCCAGATCTTGAGTTATTCCATTTATGTTGCTTGTAGTATCTCCGACCCAATGTATTGGGGTTCCTAAATCTTTGAAAACCAGGGGGGTCGTTATCTGTACACCCCCGCCATGATTGTTCATGGCGGGGATACATGGGTAGCGGTGGAAAAGGGTGGAAAGTCATCGCCGGAGCAACCACCCAGCTCTCGGCGGCGGTGGCACCGTATGGTGGTATCCCGATCCGTCGGAGAACAGAAGATGGTAGACCAAAGGCAGTGGGTAACCACGAATTGTATCGGTCTTGGAGGTGGCCCTTCACCGGATCGCCGGAAGTTGATGCAAACAACAGCTGGCGGTTGACCGGAGATGAAAATCCGGGAGGGGCGTCTTCGTCCATATCTTCAGTTTTGGTTTGACCGCGTTGTTGACTTTCATTGGTTACTAATGCTATATCCGGTATTATTGTTGTTATGTCTCCCGGCTGGTCCCACCTGCTTTTACGTTTCCGGGTCCGGATGCGGGTGCAACTGCTGACACATGAGGCGGCGGAAGCTTCTACTGGCGGTGTATCGACAGTGAGTGGCGGCTTCATGGAGTTGTCGGGAACTCTGTCGGTGGAATGACTGTTTTGCCCTTGAAAAGTTTTGAAATTTGAGGTCGTTTGAGGTTGAGGTTCCATTCTTTCCTTGTCCCTATCTGCCCGGATGACTTTTCGGGCATACCATGGAATCCACTTGTCACGGAAATTTCGGGCGATTTGATGGACCTATTGGACAATAAATAAATAAAATAAAATAAAAAGTGCACGGATAAACAAAAGTAAGTTGCTATTTTGGAGTAAATATTTTAAAATGTACCTGTTTGTCCGTATGCTCTGTCAATGACAAAATTGATTCCTTGAAGCTGAAAAGAAGCCCAAAGGAGTTTCATTATGCTTTACTCAAAACTACTATAAAATATTTTATTGTTTAATATGAAAAAACTAACTAGCGTATTCATAATTTGTTTGTTCAGACTTCAGACCTTATGGCTCCATTAGGAGAAGGTTTTAAGATATTTTCCAGTGTAAGAATCTTTCCTTCCGCTAGAAACTCCAAGACCTGCCATGCATGGATAATATAGTAATTTAACAAACTGTGATGTATAATATAGCTTTCTAAAACTTACCTTGAGAAGCTTTCGCAATATTGGAATCTTAATGAACTCTTTTCTATAATGTTTAATTAAGTTGTGTAACATCTGTAAACCTGTAAATTCAATAAAAAGAATTATGATCGTTGACAAGGAACACATTAACCCTGTGTATTTAAAAAGAAGCAAAAATAAAAACAATACCATTCTTGTTAATTATGTCGAACAAAACCGTTCGAGATTTTGTTTTCAGAAGTGCATCCAAGATCATAGAAAGGTCTCGATTACTGAAAATTATATCAAGGCAAAATCAGTATTTTTTTTTTCCAAATATATTATTTATAACACTAAAAAAGGTAGAAAATAACCTTTGAATTCCTTCACCATTGCCACTATGAGCAGTTAGACATAAAAGCTTCAAATAGCCCTTCCAAGCATCCTTCAAGAATCAAAAGCAAATCAGATGATAAGACATATCAAAATACACATAAGAAAATCAAACATTTATTAACTTTGAAGTTATAAAAGAGCAACATAAGTACACCATGTATAGCTTTAACTCTCCTCTATATTTTACTTATTTGTAACTAATGAGATTTTCATTTACAAATTTGTATTTTGGAGCATAAGGGTAAAATAGTAATTTAGTCTTCTCTCATTCAGACGGTTTAGAAAAGAAAAAGAAACAACCATACCACTACCACTAAAGACAGAATAGCAAAGCACTATAAATACACATGTACAACTTACTCTTCGTTTGCTTATCCCTCCATCAGCATTTAGCAGAGTATTAAGTGCTTCTTGAACTGCATTGCAACAACATATCAAGCATATTATTATTATTATTATTATTATTTTATTACCAAAAGATGGTTTATAAATGAGAAATGTTGAATAAATAGCAAACCTGCTTCAAATCGACCGGTTAAGGGGGCTTCCCCTATCCTTTTAGGTTTGTGAGGTGGCAGTGGCAAGGGTTTGGTATCTATGATCTCTGGTGGCTTATGGTTTTTAGATTTCCCTCTCTTCACCAATGATGATGGTTGCTTTGGGCGTGATTGTGGCTTTAAAATGACACACTTGTTTCCATTTTTATTAGCTTTTGGTTTCTTCTTTGATTCACTGTGCTTCACATCAGTCACTTTATTAAAGGAAACATCCATTTTACTTTCTGATGAAGATCTTTCAAATGAAACTTCTCTTTCTGTTGACCCAATAGGAATAACTGTATTTTTATCATCATCAATGGCTAATAAAGAATCCTTCTCATTCTCCACATCCTCTGAGTGTCCAGGAGTCATAGAAAACTTGTCTGTTACAGGACTATTATTTTTAGAAGCACTCTGTGTCTCGCTTATTAATAAATTATCCAACTTATTATTGTTATGGTTTTCATAAAATGTAACAGGTTCAGGAAATTCATCATCAGAATCACCCGAAACCACTGTTTCAGAACTTAGTGGATCCCCACCAATCACGCCTCGACACCTGGACGACCCGCACACACATTTTTTGGCTGCAGCCCCAAACACCCTTACATAGTTGTAATCAAATGTCAGCTCTTCCCCCTGAAACTCAACAAATTAATCAAGTCAGCATGAGTCATGACACAATTTAAAGAATATACCATGACAATTTCGTTACATTTATGTGTGTATTATAACAAAAGCAGATTTTATTTCTTGCATTTAATTTTAACCCAAGAAAGTAATAAATAATACACACCAAAAGATGGGCATACCTTCTTAATATCTCTTATTGCAAAGAGTCCAATGCAGACTTCCCCATTAACCATCCACTGGTCAGATAGAACACAAATTAAGTAGTAAGTTGACAAATTAAACTGAATTCACGTATATATTTTCCAGTAAGAATGTAAATTTATGATTTAATATTTAAATAAATTAAATTCAAGTATATATTTTCCAATGAGGTTTGTTCACATAAAACATTGTGCTTGTAACTTGCAAGTAAACTAACCTTTTCAGTGCGACAATTTGGTTGACAGCTGTGATTTATAAAACGACCCAAGTTTCCTTTAGCACAAGCATCTATAACCTGAAAATAAAAAAGAAACAATGTCAATAGAGCTTTATGCCATGCCACTAGTTCTATTTTCAGTTTTTTATTGTTTTTGAGTTGTTCAATTTCATTTATTATATTTTAATGTATTTATTTCATCCAACAGGTGTATTAAAGTGCAGACTAACCTCACTGCCATTCAATGTCATGAAATAGAAATGCTTATGACCCTTTCGAGCATATTCTTTTTGTCGAGCCTCATAAGCAGGCATATCAAGCACCTACAAAAAAAAATTGAAATTGTATTTGTATAACTTGCATTATAAGCAAGTTAATGAGATTCTCAATTCTATTAACTGAGAATCTTGCAACAAGAAGGTTCCATATAATGTATAGGGCAAAAGAAATGCAAAAAATGACAAAAGTAGACATGTTACCTCCCCCACATATTCAATTAGGAACCTTCCTTTGGGAATATCCTCTTGCAGCTGAAGCCCAAACCCCTTCTTTCCACATGGAAAACATTTCAGTTTGGAATACTTGCGTTTTTGAAACTGCAAAATCATAAAAAAAATGCTAATGTCAATATGCCATAAGTACCTCTTTGAACAAACACATATACTAAATAGCATTCAAATTATAAATTATAAATAACCTGTTGATTCGAACACAAATCTCCACAGGGGCATGTTCCCTTTACACATTCTATATTCAGCATCCTATTAAGGCATTCATCCCGACATCCCATGCGCCCATCTAATGAAGGTTTACAGTGGCAAACCATGATCTAACAGCCATTTCAAGAATACACATTTTAGTAAACACACTACATTAAATATCTGATTTTTATAGATGTAATAAATAATAAAACAAATAACCTCATCAATAGTCTGATTTTTACGATTGCGATGCAGAAACATGTTTGTCTTTATAAGCTTCCAAGAGAGTTGTGGAGGATCTGCAACAATGGCATATGATTAATGAGATGGAAGTTCAAGCAAACAAAAGATTGTCAGGTCAACAAGTCAACAAGTACCTATTTGCTGCTTTTGTCCCGATTGACTGGAATTCAACTGTGTATTAGAAGCATCTTCCTCACCAGATGCTTCAGATAACTCCAGCTCCTCATTGATATCAGCATTCGACTTTTCTTGTGGAATTGAACAATCCCCAAAGGTTTTATCCATGTTGTCTTTACAAATCCTTCACGTTATAAAATTTTTGAAGTATTTAGACACAAATTTATTGTTATACCATAGGTTGAAAAAGGATAAAATCATACCATCTGCATTCTGTGGATTCAATAGAATCTGCGAGTATAGCTGATATACGTCTCCATTTATGACAATCATCACAACACACCCAAGCACTTCGTGGAGATCCAGACCCTTCAACTTGTTTCTCACCATGGTCAAACTTGTCACATGATAAAACATCATTGACATTGACTATTTCTGGACTAGGAATTGCACTTCCAACACCACAATCACTTGATTGATGGGAATTGGAAATACAATCTTTTAAGGAATGTAGTCCTTCTGCAGTTCCACTAATTTGAGTCTCTGGAATAACATTAATAACTTCAGAATCAGGTGAAGTTCCAGGATCTGAACACCCGTTTTCAACTGATTCTCCTACTCCTGCCAAATCATCACTTCTTTTATCAAGATTCTCATTCGAAGCACTAGGCACCTCATTTTCATAATTGTCCTTTATATCACTTTGAAGGGTGGAAGCTTTTATTTTGACCTCAGTGTAGCTTTCAAGATCATTATCTATGCTAGGTATCGTATTAAATTGGCAATTTTGAATAGCTTTTGACCCAACTTTGAACTTCAAAAGAAGACCCTTTTTTGTATTCCTCTTTCCTCCCTTATGTCCTGTCCTTCCCTTTATTGACTTTTCTACATCTTCATTTGCATTTGCATTGACATTGACATTCTTTTTAAATATTTCATCTATTTTTCCTCCCACTCCCCAAGCTGAAGGGCGGGCCCGGGGGATCAAATTACTTCTTCTTCTTCTTCCAACATCAGCAGATAATAAATCTAACATTGGCTTCTTTCCAGAAGCTCTTCTGCTTTTTCTTGCAGCCAACTTGGTATCAGTTTTCTGATTCGATGTAACTTTTCGGGTACTTCTCCGAGTTGATGAACATTTGATATTTTGCACATGGTTATCTCTCACCTCAGAGGATTCAGTTAAGACAATAGAGTTAAAAGGGTCAACAAGGGAATCAGTATTTGGTTCATCTACATTGTGAGAAGGGTCAGGGTCATTGTCAGTAACTGATAAGGGCTCACATGATTCTAAGTAAACTGATAATGTGTCAGTTAAACAATCCGGCTGCATAGTAGACACAAGTTCATTGAAGTCACATGGGGTGTCTTCTGCATCTTCTGGCAATATCTCAGAATCTTGATTTGGCAATATCTCAGAATCTTGATTTCCCATCAAAGATTCGTGCATAATGTTAAAACCCCTTTGATTGGTTCAAGCACTAAGAACCATCGACCATCAACTTGCCTGCAATCATTATTATGAAATATGAATATGAATATACAAAGAGAAGATAAACATATGAACATGCATCAGGAAAATGCAATCCTAGGTTTCAGGTCTATTGTATCATAAGTGATGCCTCCTACAATTTACATATGATTGTTATGTAAAGTCATAAAAAGAACACTGAGGGTTTCGTATTTCTTTTTATGAGAGAGAATGAGCAATCGAGTGATGTTGAGTGTTCATAAATTCACAAGATCCATCCCAAAAACTGATAGAACAAGTTAATGCAGACATAAATGTATCGATAAGTCTGTCACGTGCTATAGTCAAGGGCGGCTGCACGTGGGGGTAACGAGAGCAACCGTCTCTAGAATTATGGGCATTTTAGTAATTTTGCCCATAAAAACAGACAAATCTTTCAGCATACATATGGTATATAGTATATACTGCATTAATGCTTCCAATTCAAGTTTATCTCGATAAGTAGACACACAAATAAATACATACAAACATACAGCAGATGTTTTATATCATAAAATTTTAACTTGAAGGTTTCTGCCTACTGTTCATCTAGTGAACCAGCCTTCAATTCATACATGATTATCTGTAAATTTAGGGGAAAAGGGTAATTTGCGAATATTTACCATCTTGTATGAGAAAGAAAGCAACAATCAACGATTAAGTAGGCGCTGCATACCAACTGATTCAATTGAAACGCACCTGAAATAATAAAATGCAAGTCAAGGAAGACACAATTACACAGATACCCCAAACAAAGAAATTAAAATCGTCTCAATCATTAAAAAGAGGGAGAATGGGATGAAATAGAAAAAACGAAGGAAAGCAAAAACCCTAATATCAGGGTGATAAATTCTTCAAATTAAAACCAAAAAACCTAGCAGGGAGACTGCATTCATAGGTCAATGCAGTAGCAAATTAAATAATACGACAAACAAAACCCCACCGACAGGTGACCTTAACAATTTGGCGCAAGAAAAAGGAGCAAAAGATCATCATATTCGTACCTGAAGAAGAACGATTCAGTGAGCAAAATAAAAAAACGGGAGGCGTCGCGAGAGAGCAAGAATTTGGTGATTATATCAACACGCAAGAGGAACAGTTTAGAGAGAGAAAGGGGAGAATCGATATGGCGCTGTGGAGAAACACGTTTGGTTTGGGGGAAATTTAGGAGAAAGGTCTGCGACCCCAAAAATCTTATTTGGGTTTGTGTGTGTTTCGTTTTCGTAGGTGTGCTGTGCTTGCTACTTCTTATATTGCATCCAAAAAATAAACTTGTTACTTTTAATGTTTACATTAAAAAAAATCATGTATAATTTGTGAGATTAAATTGTCTTTTTATTGATATATTGGACTGAATTCATAATTTCGAACCAAATGACTATTTGATTTCTAATTACGTTTTTAAGAATCTTTGATAATTTACTTGGTAATAAATGAATATAAGATTTGAACTTTTGATATTTAGTTATATAGTAATAATTAACGCCTTCTAAAAAAGATATTTGGCATATTATAAAAGATAAATTGACTTGGTTGCAAAATTTTAAAGAATGTAATTTTGGTAATTATTATAAACATTTTGAGAAAGACTAAAACATTATTATGTTAGATTTTCAATATATCAATTAGGTAAGTTTTGATACGATGGGACTGTGCAAAGTATAATCAAAAGAAATACAGGGAGGGCTCCAAACTTACAAAAAAAAAAATCTAAGATTTTGGTTTGAAAGCGTATCAATCAATATACTTTAGAGTGTAGAAAAATGTTAGTCATAATTTTGGAGAATGGGTGTAATCTGAGTTGGCTTAAGAAGTAAGGTTTTTATGGACTTTTTATAAAAACTAGATGAAAATCAGTTGCGTGCCATTGGCGCGGGTTGGAATGGTCGGTAATTTAAAGGGAAATGGCGTGTTCATGGTTTTTTTTTGAGATGTTTGTTGACTTTTTTCGTACTTTGCATGTTAATGTCTTTTTTGGTGTTATTGTTGTTGTTTGAATTGAGTACTTAAATAGATTGATGAAAAGTTAACGAAAAGTTATTACTATGATTGGTTGTGTTTGTATGTAAGTTGATAATTGTGGGATAGTTGTTTCCATTCGTTTATCTGGTAGTCATATTAAAGTTGTTTGCTATGAGGGTAATTTGGGAAGTGACTATATTAATTTTGTAGTATTTGAAGAGTCGGGTTTAAGTGTGGTTATAGATCTGTGATAATTATAGTAATATTTTTTTAATTGGTCTTTGTGTCAGTAATAAAATACATAAAAGTTTTTTTTTGCTTAGTTCTTTTTATATATTTTGTTTGTTGAGGTATAAAGTTTGTTTTGTTTAGTAGTTAACTCGTAAGTGTTTAATATTTTTTTGTTTGTAAGTTTTTTTACAAAATTTGTTTTATTTTTCTTTTGTAATATAGTCTGGTTCTTTTTTTTTTCAAAATTTCTTTTTACTTTTGTTTTGTTTTAATTACGTGGAAGAATCTAACATGTTTGTAATGGTTAAGTAACATTTTTTGTTTTGTAAAGTATTTGCACATTATGTCATTATGTTGATATTTTTCTTTTCTAAATGTTACTAGTATGTTTGTAAACATTAATAGTATGTTGGTAATATTAGTTTTTGGTAATGGGCTTGAATAAAGGGCTTAGGGTTAGAGAGTGAATCCAATATGTTGGTTGTTAAAAAAATTAAAAGTACATATGTTAAATTTGGGTAACTAATTTTAGCACGGGTTATTTGTTTTTACTTGTAATGGAAATCGAAATATTGATGTATAAAACCTTATTTTTTTCTATTGTGTTAATATTCATTGAAAAATGATAAAGTCATATGTTTTCGTAGAGGTGATGTTATACGGATGTCTAGTTTTATTTAATTTTTTTGGGTTGGTTTGTTTTGTTAGTTGTTAGCAAAAGCATTGATCGATCAAATTAAAGGATATGCTGCAAAACGAAACCCATATTATATAGTAGTTGGGTTTCATAGAGATGACAAAGTTGTTGCATACATCAGATTATGAGGGTGTTTGAGATTATTTTTTAGCTTCAAAAATCTTTTTTGTAAAAAAGATTTTTTGTAAAAGGACTTTTTACAAACGGTGTTTTGAGGGGCAAAAGTCAAAAATTGTTTTTAAAAAGTGTTTGGTTTAACTTTTACATGTAAAATGACTAAAAATGACATGCTTACATATTTACAATGATTTACTACTTTACATATATTATTTTATACTTAACAATTTTGTTTTAAACACATATTATAATTTTGTAAACATTTTATTAGAAAATATAAAATATAAAATATAAATTTCTTTTAAAATATTTCTAATTTTTTTTATTAGACCATGATACTATTAAAATTACGTTTATACAAATTGTAAATAATTCATAAAAAATATCATAGATAACATTACATTCATCTTCACAATGTCATTATATCTTGTGCAATAATATCTCGTGTCGCTGCCATATACGAATCATGATCACTCATGCGATGTGTACTTGGACCTTCTTCGTAGACTTCACTATTAGTACCACCTCGTACGGGATTGTATGATTCTTGTTGTGCCCTATTAAACGTTTCATCAAACCTACCAACTTTTCTAATGTAGTTATGGATCGTCATTGATACTATCACAATTCTCACTTGGTTCTTGTACTTGTAATGTAACATCGTAAATTTTCAAACAAAAATTTTCATTTAAAAACCTAATTATCTCATTTCAAAATCACAAAATGCCACAACATAAAGTTATCAAAACACATGTCCCATAACTGTTTATAACACAAATCCAGGATCCTCCAAAAACATATCTCCAACTCGGGTGTGTGTACAATCAAGCCGGTGCCTTCCCGTGATCCTGAGAGGTACCTGAAACACATAACACATAACACGGTAAACACAAAACTTAGTGAGTTCCCCAAATACCAAACACAGCTCATTAGTCACTCGAGGCTATAATTCAATAAGACCCTCTGGTCAATGTGTCTCATTGGGACCCTCTGGTCCCACAGCTCGGGTGGACCCTCCGGTTCTAACTCAGTAAGCTCAGAATAATACACATCATAGATCACAAAGACATAATGCAGGATATCACAATACTCAATATAAACACATAGGACCCTCCGGTCACACAACTCAGATTACCACTCTAGGTATGTATAGTGAGAAGACTCACCTCGTAAGAATCGGATAACCTCGAACTCGAATCACCGGTCTAGCCTCCGCCTAACACATACGATAATTATCCCTAATTAATAACGGCTCTCAAGAAGCTAGATTAACCCTTCGAAAAACTCACAGAAGGGTAAAATACCATTTTACCCCTTCTTGGCCTTAATAGTCCACAAATTGACCAAACCCTAAAAGTTAACGGCAGAGCGTACGCTGCGCGTACCAGCTCTCTACGCTGGGCGTACTCTGTTGCCATACAGGCATCGAGGATGCTCGACCCCTACGCGGCGCGTACTGGGATTACGCTCAGCGTACGTCCCAGTTTCACTCTTTCTACTCATTTGGTTTTAATCAGTTAAGACCTTGGCTCATATCACAGATCTGGACTCCCTAATAGCTCTTACTACATAAAGTCAGTGACTTTAAGCCTTTGCATGGCTGATAAGGTCACAAACACACAAAACTCTCACTCTCTTATCTCAAAATGCTCATATCTCATGCATGGCTTGATTCCAACGTCCAAGTCTTGATTTTTATGACACTACGCCACTAAATACACTCAAAGGGGTTGATCATAGTCTCTGGAGCTCAAATATCTCATAAAGTCTCCAACTTTTGGGACAAAAATCTAAAAATACTCTACTATGATGCACAATTCAAAAGGGTGAGAAAGCTTGGAGCTTTATACCTCTATATGAAGCTCCCAACTCAGATATGCTCAGATCCAAAGTTTGGACTCTCACTCCTTCTTCTCCAAAGCTCCTTCTTCGCTCCAAGAACACACAAAATCACTTAAAGGCTCTCAAATGGGCACACACAAGCTCAAGAACGAGGATTAGGGTTTTAGAGGGTTGTTTGTCTGAAGATGGTGGCCAGGAATGAGGCCATCATATCCTTTATATAGGGACACACCCTAAATTAGGGTTTTCACTATGGACCTAGTACGCCCAACGTACTAGGTGGCTTCCGCGTCAAAAGCATGCACATGAGTACGTTGAGCGTACACTCGCGTATGCCCCGCGTACTCTTTTGCCACCTCTTTCTCTATAAGGGCTAAACTTGACAAGTACCAAAAGAACAAGCTTTTATAAGGTAAACCTGGACTTGGGATGTTACAATTCTCCCCCACTAGAATCAGACTTCGCCCTCGAAGTCATGCTCCAGAAATAATTCTGGATACTGCTCTCGCATCTCAGACTCCGAGCACTAGCTTGTTTAGGGAAGATGCCTAAAATGCTTTTTATGTGCTAAATGATTTATGTTATAGATGCCTAAAATGCTTTTATGTGCTAAATGATTTATGTTATAGCCTTATATGCTTTATGATTGGCATGTAACTTTTCGGAGTAATAAGGAGGATTACACGTCTAAACCTTCTCTATCTATATTCTCGTCCCGATACACTGAACGCATGCTTCCATGAACATAACGTTATGGTGAAGACTCGTAGTGAACTAAGTAAATGGAGGAAATGAGAAGGCTTACAATAGTGAATGACATCTATCGAAAGATACCGTAATAGTGGTATCTTGCCTTTAGAATGCATTTGATAAAATAACAGTACATCTAGAGGAGTACGGTACATCCAAATGTACACATTTGATTGGCGGGATGATAGAACGATTAATGTAATTCCTGAAGTTGTCCTACCGTCTGGAGTTTCCACCAACCGAGTTGAATCAGAATTGATGATTGAAGATACGCATGGAAGAAGTCCTTGTAGAGTCCAGGGAAAATTTTACGATTGTTTGGACACATTTGTATATGTTAGAATTGTTTTTGTGATAATAACTTGGAGTACTGAGAGGCAATACTTGGGACAAATATGAGTAAGTGTGAAAGGTAGTAGAGGCCTATACTACCGGAAGCACATTACTCACACTTGAATCAGGGAAAGTCACAAGGTTTACCAAGGCGCTAGTAATTGATTCCGTTTTGTTCATGTATGTCGTTACCATCATTTCAGTAATGACTAAGAATATGATTATTATTCCAACCCTAGTGGTCATATCAAATCGAGTCCGACTAAGATAAGTATGTTACGTGGTTCGGAGAACCAAGTTCGATGTGGATCCGACTTAAGCCAGAAGATTGAAGTAAAAGATAATTGAATCGATCAATAGAAGTATCGCAATCGTCGTTAAACTAAGAAGCTTGTAGCTAGAAGTGTTACATGCTATAATGTAGTTATATCACATTAGAACAGGAAGGAAGATATCTTCCATTATAGAATCTGACTCAAAAAGACCTAAGTCTAAGGCGTTGCATCATACGATGAGAGATCATTAGAACACGACCCATCGGTATGTTACGATAATCGAAGTAAAGAACTTATCTTAAGTTAAGTTTGTTTACGAAGGAGCAGGAGCCTCCATTAAAGATCATGTTTGTAACTTGAAGGTTACGATTGACAGTCCAACATAGTACGAAGAGTGGGTGCAAGATTGAGCACTGTCAGCAGTCAATAAGTTTAAGAGTTAGATACTCATTTGAAAGGACACAAGAGTTACGTGTGACATCCCCAAATTTCTCGGCCATAAAAGACCGATTTAGTTTATGCTTTTAAAATAAAATCAAAGTAATCTTCCAAAAGCTGTTGCGGAACTTGTCCCCAAAACAAAATATGATAAAAATAAATTTATCAAAGCATTTCTTAAAAAAAATGTATTTTCATTATATAACAAAACCTCGGGATGTCATGTTCCGATATAGACCAAAAGCATAAACAGTACATTATAAGCCTTATAACAGATATTTACATCTACTGGCCTATAATCCAAAAATCTTTCGTCATCATCCAAACTATGCTATGGGTCCACTACTTGTAATATAAAAAGCTGAGTGGGTCAGACTTGGGAGCCTGGTGAGCATATAGGGTTTTCAACCCACAAATAATAATAAATTCAATAATAAATTTATTAATTTCATCAACCAACACTAACCCTGATTACCCGTTCCCGTTATCCTCACTTTACGTCCCTAAACACCTATCATAAGGGACCTAGTCTAAGGATTTTCATCGGGGTGACAACACTGCTTTAGGGATTCCTCAGCAATTTATGTCAAATAAGGCAACCATGAGGGGATGGAGTACACCAGCGAACATATAGTTCACCAACACCTACAGGTTGCGAGCCTGCTAGCGTTCCACTGGACTGTCTAGAAAGGTCTGTGGTCGTCATCTATACTCCGCTAGATGACAACAACAACAACAGCAACATCGAGGCCTCTCATCATTTTAACACACATCAACTATTTCATCTACCCATGTTTTACCCAACATATTTGTAGATAAAAATACATATATAGTTTAAAACTTGTATAAAACATCTATTCAACACTCATCTCAAATAAACAAACAATATAATTACACATAGCACGTATTTTATAAAGAATACTTCATATCTATGTGTAAGATGAAAATGACTACACACTCACTTGATTTAACGATAATCGAGCAGCACTTTGTTTCTTAAAATGATCGTTTCCGATGAAACCGGGAGCTTTAATGAAAACCGGGCCTTGCGAGGGTTGAGCTTCAAACCGAAAAGATAAATTTCTCGGGGTCTTCGGACACTTCGGGACGTTCTTCGGGTGTTAGGTATGATCCCGAGGCTTCGGGGGATGTAAAATACTTGAAAGAAGGTTTAATGTGAAAAAAGTTTGCAAAAATCCAACCAAAATCGGGAGGGTTCGCACCTTCGTTTATATAGGGCGAGGCTTTGGATCGAAGGGGGAAGGGAGGACACGCGGCTCGCATGCGAGGGGCCAGGTGTCGGATCTCGGGCTCGCCACCGAAGCAACACGCGTCAGCAGCTGGTTGGACAGCACTTCGGACTCAAGAAGGATGCGATGCACTTCAGACTCAAGAAGGATGCGATGCGCTTCGGACACGGGGCGCCTGTGAGGAGTGGGTGACGTGGCCGAACCTTGGCCTAGTCCTTGCGAAAATTCTCGGATTTTGTGCCCCAAACTTCAAAAATTCATAACTTTCGCATACGAGCTCCGTTTTCGACGTTCTTTATTTGCACGCGTAGGCGAGATTATACTCTACAACTTTCGTTTAGACTTCGTTGGCTAATTTTGATTTATTTTTAATATTATTATTTTTAACAGACCGGGACAGAAAAATCCGTTAAAAATTCATAACTTCTTCATCCGACGTCCGTTTTCGTCTGTCTTTTTACCGTTGTACTACTATTGACGAGACCTTCGATTCTCGTTTAGGTTGTGTCGGCTAAAAATCATCGATCTAAAATTCGAGTTGCATACCGCTAAGCTGAAACTTAGAAAATCATAACTTCCTCGTACGAAGTCATATTTGGGCATTCTTTTTACGCACGCTCTCGGTTTAACGAAGACTACGACTTTCGTTTAGATCGCTAACGCTAAAAAATACTTTATCGTAAATTCACTTTTTACATCACACAGCGTCGTGTCGGTTCTGTCGTGAAACTTCGACATGTAATAACTTATTCGTTATAACTCGGATTTTGGTATTCTTTATGTCTACGGAATCCCTGTTGCAACCACTACAACTTCCTTCATAGATATCGGGTTGATCTAATATTTATTTTCGACACTTGTTTTTATCCTTAATTCATTAAATTATAATAATTAAGCATAAAACACATAATAATCAATAATACATCTTATTATTTCAATACAAGTTACAAATGTTGGACTAGACTATTACATCATCATTAGTGCCTAGCCTAGAAACACGGGCGTTACATTACGGTTATTACCTAGGATGAAAAGATAACGTATGGAGTCATTATACAATCCATGTTTCGTTGATGATTCCGAAGCAGCGTTGTCAGTTTGTTGTTTATATTGATCCTTTAGGCTAGATCTTGTAAGATCGTTGTATAGGATCTATACGTAGGAATCGACGGGATGTGATAAATTGTTTTAGACCTATAATATATCTGTGTTAATGATAATAGTTGGATTTGCAGGTTTGAGATATACATTATTATCACATTGTGGGATTGAAAACCCTATGTATTCACCAGGTTTCCCAACCTTGCCCACTCAGTTTATTATATAACATATGGCTATATGAAAGATACATTTTGCTGAGAGATTCAAAGAGTAATAGGTCACTAGTTTAATTACTGTAAGGCTTGTAATATTTCGTTATGCTTATGTTTATGTATTGACGATGACATCTCATTGTACTAATATAAATAAAATACATTTCTTCGGAAATGATTTGATAATACCATTATCATGTTTTTTTGGGAACAAATTCCGCAATACTATTTTTCAAAAAACATACTCTGATTTTTAAATAAGCATAAACAAATCAGTCTTTTATGGCCGTGAAAATGGGGATGTCACATAAACTGTATACAAATTCATTATGCCTAATAATTTATCCACTTATAAGTTAGGGGTGAGAGCTTTTTACCCACCCTAGTTAAGGGATTTTTAGTGAGACTATATTCATTATTTAACTCTAAACACTTATCATACCCACACTCCTATAACCATTAATCCTTGGAGCGAGATACATATGTATAGATCTATACGGGGTTGACATCCCCACCTACGGTTGCTAGCTACAACCTCGACCGATCAATCGAAGCGGGTGATAAGTGTCTACTACCGTTACTACGACGTATAATGAAGCGACGTAGGGGGTACATATAATCACATAGCTCGGTTATAGGACTCACTATAAACATTAACTAAAAACTCTCTCTCTTACTACAAACCATGAGCTTGGTTGTTTCAAAACTATTTTAAGTATGAATTTACTTATGCAAAGATACATTTTGGTTTTCAAAGCTTATTTACAAACACTGTTTTAAGTATGATTATACTTATAAAGAAAATACTTTTTAGACTTTTTAAAAGTATCGTACTGCTGTTAGTTGAAAACCTGTGACCCTCACCAACTTTATGTTGACCCTCACTTTTTCATGTATTCTCAGGAATCAGTAACTCAAGTATTCAGACGACGAATAATCATGGATTTCAGGCAATCTAGTTTATCAATTTTTGTCTGCCTGCCTGTTAAGGCAATTCATGCATTACTATTATCTGTAAGAACCATGTATTAAAACTTAAAGATGGAATATAAAAGCTATTTTTTTTATTGTTTTACTTGTGATATATATATATATATATATATATATATATATATATATATATATATATATAGTTTACCTGTGATCCATGAACTTAGTCGCACAACCCGACATGTTCCGCCGCCTCGGCTGGGGATGTGACAGACGACTCCGCGTGGCCAATGATATGCGAAGTTTTGCTTTGTTTTGAGTATGGCTTAGTGTGAAGATGTACCAATGACCACTTTGGCGGGCTTTTAATGATATTCCAAGGTTCTATCCGCGAAAAAATTAACCCTTTGCTTGTTAAACAATACTCATCTAGACCCTTATTGAAGATCATATTGTCACTTTCCTCGCTTTTTTAGGTTGACGATAAATTGTTGTATATTTCGGTAAAATTTGACATTTTCAAGTTCAAATACTTCCATTTTGTACTAATTTGGTGTTTCGACTGATATGATTTGACCTCCATCCCCACATAGAATTTTTCTTCGACATTGTTCCAAAATTTATCCGATTTTTGAGCTTTTCGTCTTTCGGAACCTCCGTAGAGGCGATGTAGGCGATTACCAATGCCTCCTCTTCATCTTGAGTCCACTTTCTAAGAGGAGTCGGACCACTTAAGTTTGCTTTCAATTTTTTTCCCTTTCCCTCTGGATAGGTTTCCGTTCCGATTGTGTTTGAAGCACCACCACATCTTCATCATTTTGTGCTTGCAAAATAGGGTGACACTTGGGGTTGTGATATAGATGATGGTAGGGGTTAAGATTTTAGGGGTTTTTGGAAAATATATCTTGGTGACAAGTAAAATTGTGTACCCTATGACGTTAAACATATTGGCGTACGAGGTGATTACATACGTGGGTAATATGGTTGTGGTTCAGTTTAGAAAATGTCGTAAAGTGATGCGACATGACGAGGTGGTGTTTTTCGTGATAGAACCATTTCTATTTGTAGTGAAATTTGAGAAAGTTATATGTTTGTTTGTTGATATAAAAAAAAATATGTTTCGTGATAGAATGCAACAACGGTGAATAGAAGAAAAAAGGACAAAACTGCACATTTAGTCTTTGTGGTTTATAAAAATCTTTGGATAAAGTCCAAAAAGTTTTAAACTTGCATGACAGATCCAAAATCAAGGTTTTTCTGGGTTTTTGGTCCCTGATACACTTGAAAAGTCTATTTTACCCTTGTCATTTCTTTTTTTATTTTCTTTATTTAATTTGGTATTTAAATAATTAAAAATAAAAAACAAAAACTAAAATCTCACCCCCCTCTCTCTCCCAACACCCAAGAACACCTTCATAATCTCAAGAACACATCTTCATAATCTCAAGAACACTCAAGAACATATTCATGAACTTAAGAATATCTTCCACAACCACCATCCTTTGACCACCGTTCGCTACCACCACCACCCTTTGACCAACGTCTGCTTCCACCACCGTCCGTTACCACCTTAGTCAGCCACTACCACCGTCTGCCATCTCCATATATGGTTCCACCATTACCCATAATCCCCTTCCTCTCTATCGTTCACCTCCTCCGACAACCTCTTTTCAACCATCTCTGGCAACCGTTCGCATCTGAACAGGACCATTGTTCACCTCCAACAAACACCATAGTTCACCTCCGCCAACAACAACCAATCACGACATCCACCACCATTGTTGAAATCTAATTCTAACCTCAAATAAAAAACAAGAGCTTAAACTTAAAATCTAACCTGCAATTCTAACTCAAATCTAAGCATGATAACTGAAATTAAAAAGAATCTACCACCTGACTTCAAATCCCACCTCGATTTACACGATTAAAACAATAATAGGCTTGTTGAATCGATTAGAATTTTGAAACCCAGATGATGAAGGTTCAAACCCAGATACTTTGAAGGTTGAACCATGAAGTTGATATAGGAAACAACGTTCCAGGGATACAGGGCCATCGATCTGATATTCAAAGATCAACGAGGAGGAGAGTGATGAACACTGTCGTTGCTTCCTGCGATTGATTTATCCCAAATGATGGCGGCGATGGCGTTAGATTTGGGGTTCTGGTAGCATTTCCGGTAATGGGGTGGAAGGCGATTTTAATGAAGGTATGTATTATCATCAATTTTGGTTTCATTTGATGCAGATGGTAGTCCCAATGTGTGGATTTTTCTATGGAGGTAGATGTGAAGAAACACTAGAGAAGATGAAGTTGGTGATTGGGTTGTGGGTGAGAGAGAGAAAGAGAGAGAGATTTTAGTTTATTTAATTATTTAAATACCAAATTAAATAAAGAAAATAGAAAAAAATGAAAAGGGTAAAATCGATTTTTCAAGTGTATCAGAGACCAAAAACCAAAAAAAAACTTTGATTTTAAACCTGTCATGCAAGTTAAAAACTTTTTAGATCCTGTCGAAAGGACTAGTTTTGTCGAGAAAAAAAGGGATGAAGAAGGATAACGAAACTCACCAAGCTCGGCGCCCGAGCTATCTCATAAGCCTTAAAGCCTAACTAGTAACTCCTAAGTCCTAACCGTAAGTACATAGAAATCTGGGCTTGGGCTGCGGTATGTGGGCCACAGTAATGACTGATGGAATGGGTTATATTGAGGAAGGAGACAAATGTAACCCCTCCGTACATATCCTTTGTGTCTTGTCTTCCATGAGTCGAAATTATAGATTTACAACACAAAGGGAAAAAATTTAGATTTAATTTGTTAGCGCCTAGCCGAATCGTCGAATCCAAGCATCAAAATTTCACAAATTTCTCTCTTCTAGGGTTTACATCAATCCAATTTCACACATAAAACCACTCTAAATGTATGTATGTAAAGTCTCTGTGAACGTATTATAATTTACTTGCGGGATTGTCGATGGAGGAAGGAAGCGGGGGAGGTGTTGGTGGTGCGGCATCATCATCTTCTTCGACATTATTATGTGGCGGTGGGCGGCAGAGGTTTGAGGTGGAGCTGAGGCCTGGAGAGACGACAATTGTGTCGTGGAAGAAGCTTGTCAAGGACGCCAATAAGGCTGCCAAGAATAATATCGAGAACAAATCGCCTACTGTATCTGCTCCTCCTGTTCCTCTTCCCGTTGCTGTTAACCCTGCTCTCGATTCTCGCATTGCTCCACCTTCTGTATGTTTACGTAACCTTGTCAAAATTCACAATCAAATTGTTACTTCGGTTCCAATTTGGGGTAATTAGAATAAAGTAGGGTTTCTATCGAAAGTTGTCCATTTATAGCATTTAAGCTCAATCACGAGCTATTTCCTGCTTATTCTTTAATTATCAGTCAAGTTGTTTTTCTTAAAATTCGAAGATCATGCAATTTAATTGTTACAACTTTACATAAACAGTTTCTGTATTTATCTTTTCAATGTAGGGTTTTGTTTGAAGTTAAGTGAAAAAATGTTTGGGATGGTGGGAATTAATTGCTGCTAACATTTCTGTAGTATCAGCAATTTTTAGGAACATAATTTATTTGTAGCTTTACAGATACAAACCTATACCAAAGAACATCTTCATCTTCTCATCACTTTCATTTATTCCAGCAGCAATCAGGCTTTGATAAATGTTTTGACTTTTGTAGGGAGATGCTGCTGAAAATGAAGCCAATGATGGACCAACTGGTAGTCGTTTTAGTGCTGTCATTGAGAAGATTGAACGCTTATATATGGTGTGGAATATATTCATTACACTATGAACTTGGATTTTTCATGTCATTGTCTTGAATCTTGATGATGCTACAATCTATACATTCAGGGTAAGAACAGCAGCGATGAGGAAGATCTCAATGATGTTCCTGATGATGATGAGTATGACACAGAAGATTCATTCATAGATGACACTGAACTGGTTAGTGAAGCTACTACTTATAACTTTTGGAGCCCACTTCTGTTTGAATGGAGATAGGAAATAACTTATCATTACCTTTTTTTTGCTCTTCAGGATGAATATTTTCAGGTTGATAATTCAGCAATAAAGCATGATGGATTCTTTGTCAATCGTGGGAAGTTAGAGCGCACGTCAGTTTCTATCTTAAGATCCCTTTCCTTTTCACATGACACCCTTACTCTTTTTTATTCCTGTTTTCTTTTCTTTTCTTATTTGGATCTATTTATCTTGATAGAAACGAGCCTGCAGTGTTGCCAACTGAGCAACCGAAAAAGAGGAGAATAAAGGATTCAACAAAAGGTGATAGTGGAAGCAATGATGGGAATGCACCAAATAAACATATGAAAGTTAATAAGAAGGAATCTAGGAAGGTAGTGGTGCCAATAGACAAAAACGCCCCTACTCCATCTCGTAGTACAACTTTACCAACTGTACACAATGACGATGTGAAATACCAGAGTCCAATAATAGCACTTGGAACTGTTGTAAAGAAACCTGCTGACCCTAAAAGTATAATGGACCCTTCTCCAATAAAGATTATGGATGGTGAAGCTAAAGTAAAGAATAAAGCTGGAGTTCTCCAATCCAAAAAAGTTGCTACCAAATTGAAAGATGGAAGTCCCTCTTCTGCAATTTCGAGTCAGAGGGTCAATGAGAAGGGTGCTGGTGTGCAGTTGAAATCTCATGGACAATTGGTTAACAACTTAGAAGAGGTGAATCAAACGGTTTTGCCAAGAGAGAAAAGTGTAACTCATCAACAGGTAGACATGAAGGCTTCTGAGATTCCCCAACAACCGGTGAATGTTCTTTTGCCATAACTTATCTTGTTTTATTTTGATGCCAATTGATGTAGTTTCATGTTTGTTTTACTTGATTCTTGCATAGTGTGTTTGGAAAATTTGATGTGTTCTCATCACAAAATCATGATCAGTTAACGATTCCTATAGCCTTTAACGAAATTTATGCCTTGAGGTGTTGATGTAATTTTATATCAATGCCTAGAGGGTAAAGGGCAATTAAAAATTTCTAGTTACTTTAGGAATCTCTTTTTAACTTTTAGAAGTTAAAATCAAATACCAATAGTCCAATTATTAATAAGCCCTTGATGCAATACGGGCAATTGAATATATTGATTTGGGGAAGGAAATATAATAAGTAGCTTTCCTCTTAAGCCTAGGACAATTTGGTATGGACTATGGACAATTTGAATAATGCATTTTTATATATAACCAATGTGTGCCTTAATACTACTTGTCAAACAAGAAACATGTAAAGGACTAGTATACCCTTAACAAGAGTAGTTATAACTAGAGTATCCACCCTCACATATAGTAGTTGTTATTACATCGATGACATCATATGTGCATTAATTGTAACAAGAACAATACTCAAGTCCCATAAGAATGTGGGCCCACAATAGAGAATAAACTATGGTGTGTGACTAAAGGAAAAACATATACTAGTAATAAAGTTGGAAGTCAAGAAGGGACACTAGTAAGCAGTTAACTTTATTACTTTAATAAGGATAACACAAAAATAGTATTTGATAACACAAACGTTGAAAGTAGAATACTAGTAATAAAGTAGGACATAGATACTAGCAATAAAAGCTTAAAGTATAGAGGGGACAATAGTAAGAAGCTAAATAGTGTACAACAAGCACAAAAAGTTGAAAGGAAACTAGTACTTAAACTACTTCTATTCTACACATTAAATGAACCGGATTAGTAAATTAATTGAAGTTTCCTCATAAGCCTTGGACCTTTTATAGAATTTCCCGATTCATGAGTCCACATGTCAACAATAAACCCTCGATATCCACCTTAATTATTCAAATAATATTATCTTGAGTGTTATAACTCAAATATAATAAAAAAAGTGTAGAGATACTAATTACTAAGGTAAGAAATATAAAACACAAAAAGTTGAATCTTCCCTTAATGAGAATAGAAGTAGAGTTATATGTGTAAGTAATAACCAAAATATCCACATATATTTAAATTGACTTGACATGAATTAACTCAAATAAACAACTATAAAACACAACCAGTAAACGAATTGATGTTTTTTTAGCCTAGCCTTGTGGTCCTCAACAAAAATATCATTTTTGGTATTTTCCATTAGTACAATGGTACATTTGAATACGATTTTATTTACTTCATGGTATTTGACTACTTAGCATATAAAAAGTGACAATCAACAAAAAATCTCGACATTTATGGTATTATTTATAAATATCTTTTTTCCTTGTCGTGTTCCTGCGTTTTTTTTTCTTCCGTATTTAACTGGTTTCCTGTAATATTAAAGTCATTTGTCCGTTACTTCTTTTTGTGGGAACTTATTAGATCTGCCAAAAATGGTAATTATAAGCTTAAAATTGTCGTTTTATGACAGAAATATATTTCCATTAATATATATTTATTATTGATTTGGATGTTATAATTTTCAAGCAGAAGAATACACACACGGTGAGAAAGGAAGGTTCAAGCATGAAACCTAAAAGTACAAATCTGATGCTTGAAAAAGCCATCAGGGATTTGGAGAAGATAGTTGCAGAAAGTAAGTTTGACTCTATCACCTTTTATAGTTGACCAATTGCTTATATATATATATATTTATATTGACCTCACAACAGCAAGGCCACCAAGTATGGAGGTTCCGGAAGCTGACAACTCAGCTCAGGCCGTCAAAAGAAGAATGCCTCCTGAAATTAAGCAAAAGCTTGCTAAAGTTGCCAGGCTGGCGGTAATAAATACCAACATTTCCTTGTATTTTTTCTTATTATATAAAAATCTTACATTTTTTGTGTTATTTGTAGCATGCGATTCATGGAAAACTATCAAAGGAGCTACTTAATCGTTTGATGAGCATCCTTGGTCATCTGATACAAATTAGATCATTGAAGGTATTTCCTTTAATTATTTAATTATTTTGTTGTTATTGAATATTGATTGGTTTGTGTGTTACTTTGTAATAGAGAAATCTTCATAACATGGTCACCATGGGATTATCTGCTACAGAAGAGAAAGACGCGAGGGTACAACAGTTAAAGAAGGAAATAGATTACATGGTTAAGGCACGTGTCTCAATGATGAAGCCTGAGGTACTGTACTTTTTATTTTTTTATTTTTTTTAATGATGAGGGCATTTACGTCTTTTTGCATATTTAGTCTCTGTTGCACATTTTTGGGTAGGACAGAAATCTGTTTACTTTTTTCCTAGTCATGTCAGACACAGATAAATTGTATGTGATTTCAGGTTATTGAGCAGCAAACAGGATCATCTGATGATTTTCAAGAAACAAGCAGTAAAGAAAAAGTTGTTAAAAGCAGATATGTTCCAGATGATGCTTTAGAGGACAAGATTTGCGAGCTTTATGATCTTTTTGTTGATGTAATGTATTCTTAACCTATATCTAAACAAAACTTTTGTTTCTTTTTTTATAGCAACTTACTTTGTACAAATTTACTTCTTCAATAGGGGCTTGAGGTGGAGGATGCAACTCCCCTAGTTAGGAAGCTTTATGTAGAGGTAAGCTTGGCTGAGGAGGGCATTCTCGTCTTTTGGGTGACATCAGTTCAAATTGAAAAAGTTTAAACATAATTTACATGTTTTTTTTTTTTTTTTTTGTCCGTATTGCAGCTTGCAGAATTTTGGCCAAAAGGCTGTATGGATAACCATGGGGTCAAGAAAGCAATTGTTAGGGCAAAAGATAGGAGAAAAGCACTACACAGGCAGAAGGTAAGTGTTTGGTAATTTGGAATCAGGGCAGGAATGCAATTGTTGATTCCAATCAAGTGACTTATATTATATTTTGTTTTTGCCTAATTTGATGTTTAAAGGAGCAGGAGAAGATGAAGAGGAAAAAATTACTTGTGTCAAAATCTGACACCATTTCTGGTGAAGCCCAACATGCTCCAGATAAGGTAGCCACCGACTCGGCTGCACCCATCCGGTCAATAACCACCACAAAGCCGCCCAATTCTTCCAACATTCCCGCCACAGACCGCCCAAAACACGACAAGTTAAAGGCCAATTCCAGCAATCAAACCGCCTCCACAACGCCATCGGAATTGGCGAAAAAGAAGGCAAAAAAGAAGGCCGAGACTGAGACCGAGTTGGATGCTCAAACTCAACATGAGAGGAAGTCGTATAAGCAAGTGACTCCGGAATCTGTGACTCCTGCTCCGGAATCAGTCATTCCTGCACAACCTACAGTGAATAAGCCAAGCTGATATGGCTTAACTAAAGGTTACTGACTTAAATGGAAGTTGATAGTTGTAGGATGTTGTTGGGTTACTTAAATAGACAACCTTTTTTTTGTTTGTTTGTTTTTGTTTTGGGCAACATAGATTTCAAGCAAGTTATATGAGAGTTTTTGTTGTGCAAATGCAAACCATGTAGCCCTCCTTTGCGTTTTTGGATTTTAATGTGTAAGTAGGTAAACTAAATTTTTTTGTTTGTTTGTTTTTGAGTTTGATATCATCAACATACACATCTATTACTATTAATTAATTAATCTGATCTGCGCACATGTGAGATGACCACACTTAAGAGAGACATGTGGTCAAGAAGTTCGTGTGGAACAACACTAAATGTGAGTAAATAAGGATAATTTATCAAATTATTTAAATAGTATGGGTGTGAACTTGGGTGATCAATGAATATAACTGTCAATATACGCTTGTGGAATTAGTAACGAGATGAAACAGAGGAATATCATGAATTTGTGTAATAAGCATGGTATACATTTTCTTGGTATCAAGGAAACACGTATGACTAGATTTGATTTGTTTATGATTTAAAGTCTTTGGGGAAACTATTAGTTTAATTTTGCAAACTTAATTCAAAGGGTTTGTTTGGTGGTATTGTTTCTCTTTGGGTTCCCTCAATTTTTATTAAGTCTTAATTGTTTTATACCGAAAACATGATAAGAATAGAAGGCGAATGGGTGTTTTGTAAGGTTAAATGCTTTATGGATGACATTTATTCTCTTCAAAGTGAAGTGGATAAGAGAAGTTTGTGGATTTACTTGACGTCTTTATGCAGTCTCATCCAACGTCTAATATTGTTTTTGGTGAGTTTAATGTGGTCTACAATGCAAATGATTTTAATTATTTTATCGACAACACAAAGCTTTGTGATGTGTCCATGTGTGGTTTCTCTTTTACTTGAGTTAGTGCTAACGGTGCTAAAATGAGTAAACTTGACATGTTTCTTGTTTCAAAAGGTCTTTTGAATAACTTTCCGAGTATTGTTTGTAAGGTGTTGGATAGAGTTATATTGGATCGTAGACTGAAAATTTGAAACGTATGGTTGCGGATAAAACCTTATTTGAGCAAGCAACCAATTTAGTTCGTGAGTGCATTCGAGAGCATGTTATGGTTTTTAATGTATTTAAATATTTCAAATATCTTTGAGTTACTTATGCTGAGTTGAATGTTTGCATCAGATGAAAATAGGGTGATTTGGATAAATCACCATGTTTTTTCATCTATGCCATTGGATAGAGTTTGGTCCTTAGTAGCTTTTGAAGTTTGGAGGTCCCTTTTTTTTTATTTATTTATAAGATAGTGTTGCATTAGATCGTGCTACATAAACATAGTACTTTCCTTTTAAGCAATATTTTACTTATTTTAATTTGTTTTATGATGTTTTATTTGCTTGACTCTTAAGTTAGCTATCTATTAGTATTGTTTCATATTTATTAATAATTTTACGGTATGTTTAGGTCTTCTAATCAACCTCTATAAAGTCAACATATGTCATTTTTATTCATTCCATTACATCTTTTTTCTCTCATCTCCCATAGCGATTTCAACTATACAACTTTTTTCTTTATAGTTGAATTTCGTTAATATACAAAGTTGTGTCTTGTGGGTTTTTCTCCACAAGGGTCTCCGCCTATATTTATATTATGCAGTGGCGAGACTATGTTATGGGAAGGCGGGTCACTTGACCCATCTAAAATTAAAAAGTTTATGACAAATCATATACAAAAAAACATTTAGGACCTATCTTAAATATTTTGAAGGACCTAACTTAATGTGTTTGGTAAAAAAAAAGGAAAAAAAAAGATATAAACTAAAGACAATAAAAGACATATCATAAGTGAGATTAAGTAGTCTCACATTAACTCGAAGAAAACAATGGTTAAGGAGTTATTATTATTATAAATAAATGATTTTTCTTTCACATTTGTACAACATAAGCTTGCTAATGTCTAATTTAGACCGACTAACACCAAGTGAATGTTGCTTTTAGTAAAAAAAATTAAAGAATAACTGATTCGGGCTCAGTCATTTCAACAATAATTTTTATACATGCTAAAACAGTTATTTTTCTGATGAACCGACTCGATTGGACCCATTTTTTTAAACCGGTCCGACTTTTAGTGAACCACGTGGTTTTCCATTCTAAACTCATCACTAATATTATAGGTATTCTTATTTTGCTTATTGTGATCATCACATATGTAACATCTATGTATTTTTTCTATCAGTATATTAATGTACAAAATAGCCCCTTTTGTAGTAGTGTTAGTGGACAAATTTCCAAGAAATCTTTTCAAATACTAAGGCTATCCTCATTAGCAATCCAACCCAACCCAATTTTTCTATAAAAAACTAATTTCTCTCTCTTCCACCTATGCAACCCAATCCAATCCAATTATTCATACTCACTAGCAACCCAACCTAACCCAAACCTAATTTTTATTTAATAAATATAATCTATGTTTGTTTTTATTTTACTAAAAACTAATAGAAATATTAAATCTAAATATTTTATTTCAAAACAAATAAATAATTAATTTAAATATAAAATTAAATAAAAAGGATTTAGATATAAAGAATTGGAATGGGGTATGAAATAAAAATTACATATTTTAGTAATTTTTTTTATATGTTTTTTATTAAGATAATATTTGTTTGTTTAAAAATAATATGTTTTATTTTAAAAAAATATATATTAAATAACCACTTCAAAGATGGACACATGTCAAAAAATTGATAAGGAAAGTGGGCACGATCTTTGGTGAGCTAGGTTGCTCCCGTGGCCTAGGCCACCAAAAATAAATCAATTTTAATTTTTTCTTTCTTAAAAATCCAGTGAGCGGCTCGTCAAAACCTCCCGATGAGAGTAGCCTAAGAATAAGAAGCGAGTTTGAGACATTGTTGCACAATATTATGGAGAAGTTTGTATTGTAAGTTTGTTTGGTGTCATATAACTCACTAAAATGCAAGCGTTAAAAGTGAAAAGTCCAGTGATTCATAAAAATAATTATGCTAAGTAGTTAATGAAGAATATAAATTACTTAACATTTACTGTTACTAAAAGAAAAAAAAACATATTTTTCCATTTTAGTATTATCTACAATACCAAATACATTCACACTCCCATGAGTTGTTAGAAGACTGGGATACTTTGTGGGTGGTTAAAGAAATATTCCAGATCAACTTCGGCTCTATGAGGATATGGAATTGCTGTCTCTGAGTACTCTTCCATCCTCCTGCCTAAAGGATTGATCACAAAAAGCCCCGATCCATCGCTTTCTAAAAACCTTCTCCAAATCTTTTTGAGCCCACTTATGGGGATTGGTGTCCGGACATAGTTTGATTTACTTTTGTTGTTAAGCTTGGATATGGCGGATCGTTTTGTGATAAGTTCAGTCGGGGTGGAGCTTGGGAATCCCCAAAAAAACCGCGGTTGATTGGACACTTGTCATTTCTTCACAAATTTTTCGTGTAACACCCAGCTCTGGAAATGTATTGTCCAACAATGGAAGCAATGTGTCGATTGTGCCCTGATAAATTCCTTCGAATAAAATTCGTATGGTTTTTTTACGTCCACGTGTACAGACCTCATGTTGGTGAAATCAATCATTACAAATGGAACATCAGAAGTGTAGGAGAGGCCCTCGAAGTCATGTCCCCCACTTCTGATCCTGATCTCATAGCCATATTTCTTGGCGCAGAATAGAGTAGTTTGGATTAGTGTTACTTCCACAGGTGTCACGATGACAGAGGGCTTAGGAGTGGAGGGTTTAAGGAGCCTAATGTTTTGGACAGCGACTTGCCAAACGGGTAGGAAAGAAGCATTGATAGGGGTGAAAATGTGTTGAGAAATGGAGGTGACGTTGGTTGAGTTAGATTGTATGCAACTTATGAAATCTTTTGAACCATTAAGGGAGGATAATGATGCCATTGAAACAGAAAAGGTAAGAGTTAGAACCAAGAGGAACACAGAAGAGCTTAGTTGAGACTTCATCTGTTCTAATCCTCTCATAGATATTTTAACACATTTCTGATTAAGATAAATAATCATCATCATATATCCTTAGATTTTAAAAAAGGCTAATTTGTTAAAACCCAATGACTGAATGAGAAATGCATATAAAATTGCACTTAAAAAGAGCATATACTTGGAGAGGAATGACTGAAGATAAGCGTTACACAACAATAGCATAAAAGTCTGAAAATCGATTAACTTGTGCACAAAACCACCTTTTAAAATAAGCCACCGAATACAAACAAAATCCAAAAGGTTCAAGGGCTAAATATGATTTTTTTGATAAAGAAAACCCTAATCCATTCTTCCTTTCAAGATTCTTTCAGTCACTTCAGTTGGTGTACTGCACCAAAAACCAAAAACCATACACCATATCAATGCCTTACACTCTTATATTATAAAAATAAATATATTTAATATATAAAAAGATGTAAGAACTTACACAAGGTACACATGTCCTCCCCAACCACTCAAACAATCACGGTCTACAGATGATAAAAGAGCTTGGGAGATGGTCTCAAACAGCTCTTCATGTTCCTGCATCATATATAACAAACAATTACATCATATTTGAAAAATATAAAACACCATAAAAGTAACATCATTTTCTCAAATAACTTTTAAATGTCAAACTTATTGACAGCATAAAGATATATAAAGAATAAAGAAACGTACCATGTCAGGCTTGAACATTGACTCACAAGCACCATAAAGAGACTCTGAAGCTGTTCCAGCCACCACAAAATCTTTTGCAAGCTCTCTATCATTCATTTCCCCAAAAAAAATAACAAATTAATGTGTGTCTCCAATTTACCATTTCAAAGAAAAAGAAAATAACTTTTCAAGAGTCTTAACATTTATCAAAGTATGACTAAAAACAGAACAGATGTATAAAAAGTAGACCTACTTTGCTCCAATCGAGTCCATTGTGCAAATAAATGGCTTGTCATCATCTCCCAATCCAGCAATCACAGGTTGACAGAAATAAGGACCAAACCTACACACAATATAAGCTTAAATAAATCCAATTAATCTAACAATTATATAATTTTAGTAAGCTAAATGTTGTAACAACTCATAAGATGGAATTTTTTTAGGAGTTAAGTAATTAATTCATTTACAGTTATATATTCTAACCTTTTCTCATACAGAACAGCAGAGACAAGACTAGCAAAAGTTTCAGGCTTCATATCTCTTTCTTCCCGAAGTTGATATAGTTTGTGGCGAAACACAAGTCGCTGATGACTACAATAAGATAACATCATGAAAACATAAGCTTCGTCTTATATAAGGTGTCATGATCAAAGGGCTAGGGTTTGAGAATAACAAGATCAGTTGTTATTGAGAAACGCTAAATCAAGGACTTTGAAGGATGCTTACAGTGTTTGAGCATCAGAGCCAAGACCAGAGAGACCCAGAAAGAGCTTATCATGGATCTTGAAAATTCTTTGGAAATCAGTTGCTATAGTTTGAAGCTGGACCCCTAGTCTCCTATCACTGGCGATAGCAAAGCAATTTTTTCCGACCATGGCCACCAGAGCGCTTCCATTATACTCAAAAATCTGGAACAACAAAACAGATTAATCTGTAAGTCGGATTTTAACAACCTAAGAAAATTAGGGCTTCAAAGCATTTGATCCACATTAGAGTAGTCAATGAGTCAACTTAAACAATTTTTTTTTGGCTATACAAACATTTTCACAAATAAGAGTAATGGCGAAATACCAATTCGAAATCGATGAAACTACATGACGGATACCAGGATGATTAAAAGCGAAGAACAGAGTTAGAGTGACAGAGGTAAAAAAGAAACGATTCATCATCTGTTACATCTACCGAATTGACAGACTCGTTATTTCAGATAAATTCAGAAGAAATTTCTGTGCATATATAAGAAGGAATCGAAGTGATTAATAGGACGGTTTCCTACCCATGAGAATAAGAGGCTTTTGTTCTGTAAATTACATATTGAAACGAGTAATGCGTTTGTAAAGAAGAGAGCTTACCGACATCGAAAGGGGAGAAGATGATTTGGTGAAATTGAAAGAGGATTTTGTGTAGCAGATCGGAGAGTTCTTCACCTCGGAGGCTTTATGAAAAAGTGAGTAGCTTGGAGGACCGGCTACCCTTCAAATTATAAAAATTTTACAAAAGAGACCCTTAGAATTTGAGTTATTATATGAGTAAATCAAAATAAAACAAAAATATTTAAATTTAGAAATAAAAAATATTAGTATTGAATTATTATTATTATTATTTAACTAAAAATATGGATGTAAACTAATTAAGAAAAAAATTCTTAAGAACAATTAATTTAAAAATATATTAATAGCAAATTTATATGATTTAAAGTAAAATTCGAACCAACAAATAATGATCAATCATCTTATATCCTATATATTAATATATTTCTTTTTAATCAAATTGCTTACCATGTTTATGTTTGGATTATGTTTCATCATCTTTATATTTCCATCTTGTTTTCTTTTATCAAAACTAATTTAAAATGTCTCAAAATCATTTCAAACATAAAAACAAGTTCTCTTGAGATATCATGTAAAATAAAATTGTGTACAGTTAGAGTTGTAATTTTGGAAGGATGTTTGACCATAGTGAAAAAGACCTATCTGCCCTTGCATTCTCATTAAACGATTACACAATGATATTAACTTCCCATTATTTAGAACTTGTGACATTTTCTTTTCTTATAATCACAATCAGTTGATTCATATGACTATCCATTCCCATCACTTTTTGTGATTCTTCATATGATCACAACTAAAAATTCCATTTTTTCAACAACACACAATGACATTCATCTTCTCATACAGTCACAACTAAAGATTAATTTTTTTTACAACAATTTTTGATTACTTTATCTTAAAAAAAATCATAATATATTTTGTCAAACAACACAAAACATATCCAAACACCCCAACACAAGCATGATTTACATCCTCCCTTAATGTGTAATAATATAAATCAAATATTGTTGTAAAAAGATAGACATATGAATTCTGTCCATTTATAACTGCAATATATTTATGGCTCTTCTTGTTTTGAAATTACCTTTTTTCTACTTATTTGTGCAGTAGATATATTGACCTTTGAACTTGTCAAAATAATTGCAATTTTCATCTTTTTAAATGGAACAAAAAAAGAAGCAATTTTCGCCTATTATGTCAAACACAATACAACCTATTGAAAAATACAGTTGATGTACAAGTATATCTATGGATTGAAGCTAAAAGAACCAACCAGTTTAAAAAACTAAAAACCCAAAACTCATAAAAATAAAGTTGCAAAATTGAATTTTACAATAAAAAAAAAAAGTTAAATTTATTTTTCAATCAGCATCTCCAAGGCCGTCACTCCCATCTCCTCTTTTGGATATTGGTGCATAATTAGAACCCGGTTTCTTCCTCTGTGAAGCTATTTCTGCATTTTTCCTTAACACAGCACCTGGTGATGGATAAGGTCGCTGCTGAAACAGAGGCCCCTGAAAATGAAACTCATATATTTTATTTTATTCATTAAAAAATGTAATAAAAAAAAACTTCAGGGGCAAAAATGGAACCAACAAGTATAACAAAACCATACCGTTGCAGTTGTATCTGCAGCTCGTGGCTGTACTCCTTTCAGCCCAACCACCCTAAAAATAAGCAACACAGATTATTACCATTATTATTATAATTATTTTTATTTTTATTATTATTATAATTAATCATACCAGCCACCACGAGGGGCATCTGAATATGCACTTGGATCCATAGGATCCACCTCATCATCCTCAGCAAAACCACGTTTCTTTCCCTCTTTTTTATTCCCTTTTCCTGAAGGGGGTTTCCTACAAATCCAAAGATTTAAATATATATATAATTATCACTTAAATAAGCTAGAATTTGAGAAAGATATAAATATATAATACCTTGACTTAGTTGCATCATTGGAAGCTTGATGTTGACTTGCTGCAATCATAGACAGGTATTGAGATTCCGGAAGGTTGAGAACCCTAATTACAAAAACAAACTATAATTATTATTATTATAAAAAAATAAAACTTTGAAATCAAACATGATAAATGTGAGACAAGTACCGTGTGCAATGACAACAATACCCCCATGACTGTACAAGCCCTACCCCCCACCCACCACATCCGCAGCATTTCTTTATATCTACTGACTCCACCACGTTGACTTGTTGACTCAAGGCTGCTGCTGCTTTCTTCTGTGGGTGTTCCCACTGTGATACGTTGGTTTTTGAGTTGTAGTAATATTTACAACCTGTTTAAAACAAAATAATACTAGTAAGTTGTAATATTTAGAAAGTTTAAATACAAGAAGGAAGATTTATTATGTTATCATATGACATACCACTTGTCTCATCAAGTACCTCTTGCCAATCTTCTAGAAGGAAAGAAGGTGATGCTGGCTGTGAGTTTAAGGATGTTCCAACAGGTTTTTCCCATTGACTTTTTCCAGACTTTTCATTGTAATAAAAGACACAGCCACTTGTGGGGTCCCTAGATTCAATCTGCAAGAAATAGCAACGTATTTACATCCATTTGTTTATTTTAATAAAATGCAGAAATAGAAATATCTGAATTTTTCAAAGTACATTGCTATTTCTTGTGTTTAACACTCACCCATCCTGGTGGCAATGTAGAAGGTGCCATGACTTCAGGTGATTGCTTGACTTGATTATTCAACTTCTGCAATATAAGGTAGGAAGAAGACAATAAAGAATAAATCATTATACGTATAGGGAAAAAGTATATTTATAAAGAAAAGAAAAAGATAAGAGACCAAATTACATTATCAGACTCGTCTTTTAGAATTCCCCTAGCTTTCAGCTTTTGCTTGAGGAACTCAGGCAAATCATTAGGTTGTTCAGAAATGTTTTGGCCTGATTCGTGTTTTTCATTGCCATTGCTTTCTGTGGTTAAAAAAGATAAGAAATTTGTAGAGGTAGATATATAAAAATGGTAAAAAGATGCATATTATTCCCTTAGTTTCATCATTAGCTTACCAGATGATAAAGTGTCTGGCTTTAAAGCACCATAATAAGCACCTCCACCAGGTACTCCATACCCATTCCCAATTTCCACATTACCTACAACCAATGTAAATACTTAGAGTTAACTCCAAAGAGTTTATATATTTATTTTTATCACTATAAGAATTGGTTTGAACATTGGTAAGAAAATGGACAAGAAAAAAGTAAACTACTGAACTTACCTTCTGAAGAGGCTGGTTTTCCACGCTTTAATGCCATCTGAGACCGATGATCTGTTGTTATCTTTAACAGATGTTCCTATGTAAAGAGGTTTGAATAAAAAATTTACTGAATCATTTGCATAGAATATTAGAATGCTAACTATAAAATCTTAATCTTGTTGATGTAAACACCTTTATAGCATTAGGATCATGGCGTCCTGCAAAGATGTCTGAGTTCTCTTCATGTGATCCACCTGCAGCCCTTGCTTCTCTAGTTCACAAAATACCATTTTAACATTATGATTCTTTCCACATGGTTATCACAAGTTAAAAGAAAACAATAAATTATACCTTTGATCAACTATGACTTTCTGCATCACAATATCCTGAAAATACAATCAAATTGTTCCTGAATCAGTAAAAGAACCATAGAATGATAATACGAAAAAGAAGAGAGTAAAGTAAAAGGGTATATTTGGCAATACTTGTTCACGTAGCACAGCATCCTGGGCTGCAGTTTCGATGTCAGTGGAATTTCCCAAATGCTGCTCTCCATTTGAAGCTCCAGTTATCTGAGAAGTTTCAGAGCCAATAGTGGCATTGAAGGGAGTGGGAAACTGAGAAGATAATGGAGGTGCATACAGTGCTTGTTGAGGTGAACTATACTGTGGATGGAAGTTTCCAGAGGGAGGAGTGTGGGCCACATTAGAAGGGTGAATAGGGTAACCATATTGCTGGTGACCATTAACAAAATTTTGGAAAGATGGAGGAGGATGATGAGCCGATTGATTTGAAGAGACTAACTGTGGTGAAGAATTTGGTAAGCACTGCACACCAGGTGGGAGAGGTTCTTCGTAGTTGTTAGCCATGAACTTCAGAGGTTAGTATGAGTGTACGACAGAGTTCTTCAGCACATTGAGGTAGCAATAAAGCAGAATTCACCTGAGAAACATCGTCAAGAAAAAGTTTATCACTTTCTTGCAGAAAACAAGACATGCGTAAATATACTATAAGAGAAACATTCACAAAATACAAGCAACTCTAATTTCAATATCTAATTCATTCAACGTTACTACTCAATACCCCAGCATCAACCACAGTCCAAAACCCTAGGAGAGAAATAAACATTTGATGATTTTCAAATTAGTTCGTTAGGGAGTTATACTACGAGATTTCGAAACAATTATGAACGTAAACTAATATTTATTGAAAGAGTTGATACGCAACAAATACCTGGATGCCGATTGCGGGAAGCAAGAGAAATTCCGGTTGGAATTCTTCGGGTAATTTTGCGGCAGAATTTGTACTCAGAAAAGAAATCGCCGACGAGACAATTTGTTCCTTTCGTAAATTGCAATATTGGCCCCTGTAAAATACCCAAAGTGCAAGATAAGGCTCCTTCTAAAGATTTCATTTTTTATGGTCCCTGACGGCTAAAACTAAAGTATATGTCAACACTTCCTACCTACGTAAAACTTTATGTAAAGGGTATCGATAAATTGGTCATTAAAGTTTTTATCAATTCAGAATTAAAAAATGTTAAATTAGACTTTATAGAAAAAAATATAACAGTTTAGTTATTTGGACATATTATAACATATTGAATGAGTTACCTGTTTATATATGACATGACTATTTGGACCAACTATAACATGTTGAATACTTGGTGTCAGACCCATGTATTACATGGATTTATTTAAAAAAAAATAAATATGAAATTTTAACAATTTGAAAAGTTTGAATTTATAAGAAAAATGAGAAAAGTTTTGAATTATTAAAATTAATGAGGCTTTAATGTATTGAATAATTACATATATAAACAAATTCTAATAAATACCTTACGTATATATTACTTTACATATTAAATATGGAATTTTAATTTAATAAAATTAAAAATACAATAAAATGACAAATAAAAAATAGAAAATTTAAAAATTCTAGAAAATGTTATGTGTCCAAATGAATGAGAATAAGACATGTGACAAAAAAACTTTCGTTTATTAGAGTAGATGTTACCAATTTACGTAACATATCAAATAGGAAATTTTAACCCATCTTCATCCATGTGGCGTCAATATGGATTTTTTTTTAAATTATAATTATTATTACTATTAAGATTATCAGTATTATTATTAGAACATCTCCAATATAAGTTTTTTAAAAAGCTTTTTACCTTTTTAATAGGCCATTTAAAGAATTATGACTTTCAAAAAAAAAAAAAAACCTTTTAAGCAATTTTTATTCTACAAGTCATTCTCAAAACATAAAAACAACTTTTAATAAATTTACATGTATTGTAGTAAAAAGATTTTTTTATTATTTATTTATATTAATTTATTAGTGAAAAATCTTGTTGGCAAATACAATAAGACAAGACTCATGCATGGGAGACTCTCTTAGTAATTATTAATAAATTAAGAATTTATTACATCCTATAATGATTTTGTGCACAAAATCAGAAAAGGAAGGAACAAACGGTCAATATCCTTCCATCTAAGTTTTTATATCTTTTAAAAATGTTTTATTCCATCTGGACATGAATGTAACAATACATCCCATCAGTCATGTTTCATAATATTGACCGCTTTGGTCCACCCGACACGAAAACTTTTCGGTGGGCCATCAATCTTAGTATTGCTCTCTTCTGAGAACGCTTAACCGCAAAGTTTTTATGGGATATGCTGCCCTCACAAATTTAAGACGCGTTGTAACAGAGAAGTATTGACACCTCTTATAAGGAATGCTTAGTTATTCTTCCCAATCAAGGTGGGATCAATTGCAGGTAGCCACCCAACTTCACCCCCTTTACATGGTTTGACGTTTCTGTTGAACACATCGAACCCATGTCCTAGCTTCTAATAACATTTGTAATACTCCCCAATGGGACGTATCACAATATTATACGCTTTGGGCTCCTGACATGAAAACTTCTCAATGGGTCACCCATCTTGGCATTGCTCTCGCCTAGGAACACTTAACTGCAAAGTTCTTATGTGATCTATTGCCCTCACGACTTTAAAACGTGTTGTGACATTAAATGTATCTACACCCCTTATAAGGATGCTTACTCCTCTTTCCCAACCGATGAGGGATCATGCACAAGTAGCCACCACCTTGACTCCTTCATTATAAAATAAATAATACATCATATCCCATCATAACATGTGGGTGGCTACTTAGAATGAGTTTTAAGTATTCCTTGTATGGGGTGTGGATACATTTCCTGTCACAACTTGTTTTAAAGTCGTGAAGGCAATAAATCCCATAAGAACTCTTCAATTAAGCGTGCCTAGGCGAAAGCAATCTAAGATGGGTGACCCACCGGGAAGTTTTCGTGTCGAGAGATCAAAGAGGACAATATTGTGATTCATGTCAGAAGGGAATGTTACATATGATTCTTTACAATTCCAAAATATGGATAATGTTTTACCAAGGATAAGCATATAGATAATCAATATACTCACTATAAATCATTAGTCAATTCTCCAAGTTCATAAATACATTTAATGGTTTGAAATGTCATTACTTACTCTTAAATAATTTATCACTTCGTCAATCCATGATTGTACCCTCAGTTGGAAATATTCAAACTGACACAATATGGTAGTGTCATAATTAATTATATGGGTCTATATGGGTTATACACTTGGTTCAACTTTAAAACCAAGAGTATTTATCTGAGAGAGAATAATTTGTTATTTATTGATTTGTCAAGTAAATAACTACAAATTAATTAGAGGGACTAATAATGGAATAAACCAAAAGGCTTGAGTTATAGGTAATTATCATAATTCAAATAAACCTTACATGCTAAGGATATATAAAAGCTTTTATTCTCCTATATATATAGGAGGTAAGACAAAGGAAACCATACACCAATCAAACCCTAAATCATCCACAATGATATATCCTTCCCTCATCCTAGCTGACGACTCCAAGAGAAAACCTCATAAGGATTTTGCGATTTTTGCTTAGGTATTAAGGAATAAGGAGATATTGGTAATGTTGAAGTAGAAGGGGTACGATTCTGTTAGATAGATTATATTTTAGACCCTAGTACTTCTTGACAACCTAAAGGTAATCCTTAAATGTAACATCCGAAATTTCGGGTATGATAGTTCGTGTTTCAATTTTGAAGATTTAGGAGAGGCTCGAAGAGCCGAAGGTCTGACTCGCCGAGTCACGTCGAGCGAGCACGTGGATTTAATGAGTGGACTCGACGAGTCCAAGGATGGACTCGCCAAGTAGGTACTGGGCAGAGAAAACCCTAAGTTCCGGGGTTGGAGCCTATTTAAAGGAACTTATGACCTTGGATGCGCCTCATATCTCCTGTGAGAAACCCTAAATCGCCATTGGAGCCATGGGAGAGTTCTTATGATGAAATCAAGTATTTTGGTGGGTTTTATGGAAGGAAAAGTGCATGATTCAAGCAAGGAACGAGATGGGGGCTGTGGATCTAGCATTTCTTCACATGTGACTGTTGTATGAGGTATAATCTTGCATCATTTCTTCTATTTTGGTTGGACCTCATGATCTTGGGAGTTTTTAGGGTTTAACTCCCCTTCTTTTGTGCTTATGAGCTAAGCAAGACATGATCTGAGGTGGGAAACCTCAGATTTGAACCTTGTGAGGTCCTTGGAGGCTAGGTGCCTCAGCTTTAGTGGTCCAAATGAGGGTTGATGAGCAAAAACTTTCATGAAGAGCATGTATTGGCGTTTTGAAGCAATAACATCATGTATGAACGTAAAGATCGAAGCTTTACGTAATTATTGAGCCTTGGGATGATAGATCTATAGTTTAGAGTGATAGATCTGGTTGAAATCGTCTGAATGAGAAATCAGATCAAAGGGACTCGCCGAGTCCATGAATTGACTCGACGAGTCGACGAGGGTTTGTCCCGATGGATTGATTGTGCGATAACTCGACGAGTTGGGGGTCAACTCGACGAGTTGAGCTGGAATTTTGAGACTTCTGAGGATACGAGGGGACTCGACGAGTCGGGTCAAACTTGGACTGTTGACTCGAGTTTGACTTCTGTTGACTTTGGGGTTTTGGTCAACATATGTGATAGAGACCTTGCAGGGGTAAAATGGTCTTTTACCCACTTTAAAGAGTTAGAAAGAGAAAGAACCGCCTTCGATCATCTGAGTTGTGAAAAGAGTATTAATAAGAGATATTCATCCTTCGTGTTAGGAGGAGGCTAGTTCGAGATCCGAGCGCGAGGTTATTTGCTCACCTACTAGCCGAGGTTAGTCTTCACACTATACTTTACCTTGAGTAGTAGTTATGTGTGACCGGAAGGTCTTATGTGCTTACATTGAGTATTGTGTTATTATGTCTTATGCTGTGCATTATTTTTTTGTGATTTATGCTATGCGGAGTGTTACAGACTGGACCGAAGGGTCCAACGATTTATGAGGCCGGAAGGCTCAACCAGACCGGACCGGAGGGTCCAACGAGTTAGATCGGACCGGAGGGTCCAACGAGCTATGACCGGACCAGAGGGTCCAACGAGCTATGGGACCGAAAGGTCCCACTGAGACACTTTGACCGGAAGGTCTCGCAGAGTTTCAGCCTCGAGTGGCTAGTTGTTGTGCGTGGTATTTTGGGGAACTCACTAAGCTTTGTGCTTACCGTGTTATGTGTTATGTGTTTCAGGTTTTCTCAGGATCGCGGGACGGCACCGACTTGATTTGTACACACCAGAGAAAGAGTTATGTTTTGAGGATCCTGGATTATTAAAGGAATTGTGCTTTGTAATTCGAATAAACGAGTTTTCTATACAATATGTTATAAAAAGTATGCGATTTTAAAATGAAAAATCTGTTTGAAAAATTACGGTGTTACAAGTTGGTATCAGAGCCTTGGTTTGAGGGATTCGGATGCACCTTCGGGTAGATCTGGACTCAAACTGAGGATTTGAGAAAAAATTTCAAGGAAATGATTTTTCTAAAACGAGCAAGAGTTTCTAAAAGAATACGAGTTGCAGCAGTGTGTACAATCAGCCAGAGCCCGAACGATGATTTCCCAAAATACCCTTACGTTTGTATTATGAGATATTTATGAGATATGCTATGAGATATTATGCATGCTAGAGATAGGCTAGGTATTTCATATGTTAGGACTAGAGTGGCCTGATTTGTGATGCCTTAGCCTAGGAGTTACTGTTATCTGTGATGTGCTTTCGAGTATGTGTTGAGTAAGAGTATCCAACAGGAATCCTCTCGAGAGGGATTTGGGTAGAGGAGTAATCTAGGAGAGATACCTAGACGAGCATTTGAGGAGTCTACTGAGAGAGTAGTCAGATACCCGCGTGGGGTAAAGTTGCTTGAGTTCGGTGGTATCCTTTGAGTATGAGGAGAGCAAGTGGGTAATATCCTAGAGTGGTTTTACATGTCGGTAGAGATTGTTCGA